TATTAGGAGTTTTTTTTAACGTTTTGGCAGAATTCTTAAGCTCAAGAAATTAAATGGAGTTGGGGTTTCTTTCCTTATACTGAGCTTAAATTTTAAAAAAAATATTTTTCTTTTATATTTTTAGAGGATTTTTAAAAATACACTCATAACTTGGTACTCAACAATGTGAAAACTCATCAGTTTAGGTACTCTGTATATTGTGAGTTGAAAACATTGAGCTTTTTTTCTTCCTTGTTGGAAACGCAACCCACATCCTCCAACTTGAGGGTCTCAGTTGCCTCAGACTTACTACTCTTTCCATCCACACACGGTGTTTGGTACATGGTGGTTTTGGTACGTGTGCCTCCTAGAACGTGTCAGTGATGAGTACCAAGTACCGCTGTACTGGAAACAGAGGTGGAAATTCTTCTCTCTGTGATAGCATCATTTTGTAATAGTCTTAAAAATTATGTATTTGTTTTCAATGCACATGTCTTTCCAAAAAAATCATTTAAATGAATTCTGGTTAAAAACAATTTATACTTTAAAAAATGTTTTTAAACAAAAACTGTTTTTAGATTTTAAAAAAACCCTACCATATAAACTGGGTTTTCTCTTTCTTATTAATCTATTTTACGTTTTTCTTACTAATTTTATAGCTATTACCTCCCTGAGGTTCAATCTGCTATAGAATAGATAAGATCCAACTTGACAAGATGCTCTAGGTGAACACATATTAATGACCATTCTTTCTAAGCTTCTTTTGTTGCTCAGCTTTGGTGGAAAAGAATTTTGAACACTGACTCCAGTCTCTATGATTTCCCCTGCTGAACGGAAACCTGACAGATCACCAAGAGTGGTGTCCTCACACCCAGGGACATCACTGCAGAGGGTTAATCAGCTGTACCTTCAGAAGACGAAAAGCACATTCAGTGAAAAGGTGTAGGGGAATGGTATTGTTAGGACCCAGAAGGAGTCACTACTATAAACCCTACCAAAAAAGTAAGCAGACCATATAGGTTACATGGAGAAAAATCTTAGGCCTCAGTGCCTAAAAGCTAACGCCTTCACAGTAATGGAGCTGTGCATCTCTGTGGGCTTTAGCCTCTTGTGGTATTCACCTTCACAGTCTTGAATCCTTTCATAGGCGCTCCAGCTGCCTTAATGGAGTCTGCACACCAAAACAGCCATACACAGCCTTCTACTCAACACTGTGCCCCAAATCCCAAAATGTTGAGAAGTGGAGCAGCTGAGGGGGGAATTAAAAGAGAGAAGTATAAATGATATTGAAATGAAGCTTAGCTTCATGTCTGGCTTTCTTACACTGAGAGTGACAAATGCCACCTACATATCTTGTGACAGAATTGTTCATTTAACATTTGTCTGGGCCTGCTATTGGGCCAAAGCCTGGAAGAGTCTGCATGTGCATGTTTGCTGGACTTGTTCTCCCTCTGCTGTGTTACAGGGCTTCTGAGTGTTCCAAGGAGAAAGGCTGCCCTCTGAATTTGGGCAAAATTTAAATAAACTCATTGTTCAATTTTTAAGAGTTTCCTCATACTCTTCCTAGTGAGCAGTTGAACCATCCAGATAGTTGGGGCCCAGACTCAAGCTCTGGTCAGATCCCCAGTAACATGGTCACCAAGAGACAGATAAAAACTCTCTGCCTTCAGTGTACATCCCCATAGGTCAGGTGGGGCCCTGGCTAACCTTTTCCCAGTTCTGCAGTGTGAAGAGGACAGGTGTTCTTAGAAGCTGCACATTGTTCACAGGCCTGGGGGTGGGGTTACATATTGTAATGAGGCAGGTCAGTGGAGGACCTTGGGCTTATCAAACTCATTGGGCCTACAATTTATTCAAAATATTTAAATCAAAATTCACACCCACTCCAGCTTCTTGGAGGACCTCAATATCATGCCATCATCAAGTCTTACAGGACAACAGAACTGTGTGGCAGAACAATTCACCTCTCTGCTTTGTCCAGTACCCCAGTGATGTGTCAGAAATCAAAAGTGGGTGCTCATGAGCCCACTCAGGCTGAGCACACTGCTTTCCTGCCCACTAGACTGTCTCTGCTCCTGAAGAGACATTTAATAACTTCTTCCTTCCCCAGAAGCCTAGTGTTTGCCAAATGGGCCCTGTAACTGCCTGGATTGGACAGATGCTACGTTCATTCAGTTCACATGCAGGGTCACTCAGCGGGACTAAACTCTTGTCACCTAATGGCACACAGCCCCACAAATGAATGCTTTGGTTATGCCTGAAGCTGTCTGCATGGACTCAGTATCAGGTCAACAGGGAGAAACGTCCTTAAGAGTTAAACACTGCTTTGTAAATCTTCTATGTTTAAATCTGTGCCCACTACTGAGGACATTGTGTCTTATTCCTAGTGTTCATGGATCTGGACACTAGAAGGGTAAGTTGATTTTTCATATTACTGTTAATTGTCATCGAAAAGTCAGTGTTGTCTGTTGTGATTTCACCTCTTACATTTTCGATTTCATTGAAGTGGTTCATTTTTGCCACTTTGAGTAAGTTTTCCAAGCAGTTTGTATATTTTCTTGATTATTTCAAAGAATCTGGTCTTTAGTCCATTGATCCTTTGTACTTTTGACCTCTTTTTCATTGATCTTTGCTCCAATCTTATGACTTCCTTCCTTGTGCTCGATTTGGGGTTGGACTGTTATTATTGTTCTAGAATCTTGAGGTGCATGAATATGTTATCCATTTGAGCTCACTCTACTTCTCTAACATGAGCATTCGCAGCAATAAACCTCCCTCTTAGGACCATTTTCATTGTGTCCTGTAGGTTCTGGTATGTTACACTGGCATTATTATTTCCTCCAAAGAATTGCTTATTTCTTCCTTAATTCTTTTCTTTGACCCAGAGAGTGTTCATAAGTGTGTTATTTATTGTCCAGGTGTTTGTAAAATTTCCATGGTTTCTTTTGTATTTGATTTCTAACGTCATTGAAGCATGAGTCTAGGGCATCGCAATGTGCCTTGGGCATTGGGCACAACATGCCAATTGAAGACTTTTTAGCAACAGGCACAGAGCAACAGCTCCCTGGACTGACGTGAGATCAAGCCGAGCCCTGCACCAGTACCAATCTTCTCACACAAGAACACACCAAATGTGGCACGTCATATCAATCTTCTTGCACCAGATTAAGTGGAACCACCCAGATCAACTATCACAAAAAAGAAGAAGATGGCAGGAATTGGCTTTGTAGACACTGCGCTCTTGTTCTCTTAGAAGTCTGTTTCTGCTTGCAGGCCATATCTTCTCATTCTCTTTGAAAGCATCCTTTTCTCCTCCAGCACTGCTTTTGGGTATTTCTTTCCCCTTTTTCTATTTTTGCCCTATGTAGATGACCATCTATCACATTCACCAATTGTTCTCTCCAGTTCATTGAACAGGACGATGAGAACCTAGAAAGTACTGCCAATCCCTATTACACCCAATAATATATCTGGCAAAGCCTAACAGGAGGGCCAGGAGGTGAGGCCTTTGGGCACAAGTATGTCTCTGTCTCTGTCTGTCTCTCTGATCTGTCTCTGTCTTTCTCTGTGTCTCTCTGTTTCTCTCTTTGTGCCTCCTTCTTGAACCAATGGACTCAGGCTTAGAAGGACCAGTGTAAGGGCGGGTTTAGTTTTCTTTCTCTGTTTTCCCCGGGGGAAGGCCCCAATCCTCTCTTCAGTCTTTTCTTATCCCTTCTCTTCCAAGACAGTCAGGAAGAATCAGGTAGCTAGAGGATGGTAAGAAATAACTAGTGGCAGGGGCTGGGGATTTAGCACAGCGTCACAGTGCCTGCCTAGCAAGTGCAAGGTCATGAGTTTGATTCCTGGTACAGGAAAAAAAAGAAAGAAAGAAAGAAAGAAAGAAAGAAAGAAAGAAAGAAAGAAAGAAAGAAAGAAAGAAAGAAAGAAAGAAAGAACTAGTGGAGGTTGAGACCCCTGGTCCTGCCAGTCGCCATCAGAGGAGAGACACTGGCATGCACAGCAGAAAGCCCGCTCACCTTCAGCCTCAATACCACAGGGCTGCGCCATGTAAGGGGGCTCCTTCAAGTCCTGCCACAGTACACTTGTGGCAGCAGCTGGAGAGACGAGTGAGAGAGCAGGAATGTTGAGACCCTGGGAGAAGGTTCATAAGGAAAGGAGATTGGGCAAGGGGCTCCCAGTTGAGGCAGTCAGTCAGGACAGTGAAGGCTCAATGTGTCACTATGGGGACCATCCTGACCCAACCACAGGGATCTTGACCAATATATAACCAATATGATCCCTCCTGAGTAATCCTTACCTCTTTTCCCTCCACAGATTTCCAGCATACCATAACTACACACAGCGCTGAGACTGGCCTGTGGGACTTTACTTTCAGATCGTAGGGATATCAGTGCCAGAATGTACCTTCTCACATCTTTGTTGTCTGGATAGGGCAAAACAAGGTGCAGTCTACCTTGGGTGAAGTTACTTCTGTCCTGACTATTGTGTCAGCACCTCCTTCTGCCCCAAGTAGTGGAATGCACTGGGCTTGCTGCTGCCCTTGACCAGGACTCTGTCCCTATGTTCCCAATAATGATTAGACTCTGTAATTCTGCATCTTTTTCCTTGGCCTCATGGCAATTTATGCCTATGGACATTGGTTAATTGAAATCCAATTTTTCCAAAACAATGAGAAATATTTATTAAACCGAAGTCTGCAAAATATAGTACGGGAAGGAAAGACAGATCTAACATTCTTCTTGTCCAGCATCCCCTTCTCCAAAGGATGAGGACAGTGAGATTCAGAGGCAGGTCCTCTTCAGGTCTCACTGATTTTTTTCCCCATACCACCAGTGTCCTTGATCAGTTCCTCAGCTCTGCTGAGCTGGCCATGCGTGAAGAGCTCCACCACCTCTACTGTCATCACTCCACACCATGCACCACCATCATCAGCACCACCATCACCACTACCACCCCCTACAACATCACCAATACCACAACCACCACCACCATCATCATCATCATCATTATCGACATCATGATTGAATTCACTGCCTGACAGAGATAAACGTTTATTAACACTAGAAAGAAAGAGATTCAGGTCATGAAGGGTAGACTGCTCTGTTGCTGGGTGTCAGACTGTGCAAAATGTGGGAAGCAGAGTGTTGTTTCTTCTCCCGTATCCAAACAGTTGTAATTGTGCCACTCCCAAATTCTGCTCTTCTGTCTTCCTGAGCTTCCCTCTGCTTCTTCCTGCAACTGCTTCCAGGTCACCAGTGAATTCTTATGACAAAAAAACTCTTTCCTCCTATTGCCCACATCCTTTAGTCACTGCTTCTCCCTTATGTCAAGCCCCAGGGCCCTGCCTTCTCTTTAATCCATTTCATGTGCTTTAACCCCTCCCTGCTTGGGCTCAGCCACAGAAATGCACAGTTCCTGAACACCCAGTTGCATAGACTTGATCTCACCCTCTTTTCCCCTCTGCAGCACTTCCTGCCTTTGTGCATGTGCTTGAAATGCACCTGAGCCCTGAGCTCTGCACAGCTTGGGGCCTCTGTCACTTAGTCAGGTCCAACTGCAAACTCTCATGGATCTGGATGAGCTCCTCCAGCTTCCTCTCCAGATCCTGAGCCTGCTGCCTCAGCTCTGCAGCTGATTCTGTCTTTGCCCCCTTGTGCAAAAGCACTGAATCTCGCACAAGGTTGCACACATCCCACAGAAGGAAGACACCTGCAGTTCCTGCACCTGTGATCCGAGCTGCTGTGGACATTCCCAGCGCAGTCCCTCCAATGATTCTCTGCACCAGTCCACTTTGGAATGACATCTCCCCAGCTTTCACGAGGCGGCTGGCATTGGTTACTATCTGAGGGTCGGACTTGGCCATGTTAATGGCATTCATGAGCTTGTCCTTGCCTTGGGATGCTTGCCCACACTTCTTGGTTGCAGAAACAACCTCCTTCTCTGTGTCCATGCTGGTTGCCAGCAGGCACCTGGCTTCACCTTGCGCTGACAACTTGTTTGAATGGTCCACGAAGCTGGAAGAAATACGAGTCACAGCAGCAGCTGCTCCCAGCCCTATTCCAGTGGCTGACAGTGCCAAACTACCACCTGCTGTCACAGGTGCCAGAGCCACGCCAAGGATGGTGAGGATGCCAGAGACAGCACCACTAGAGCTGGCCACCACATTGGTGATGGTGCAGTCCTTGTGCACCTTGTCAACCTTCTCTGCAAGAGCGTAGAGCTTGGCTATGCCCTCCTGCAGCTGCTTTTTCATGAGAGAAAATTCATTCAAGAACCTCTCTGTGGCCTGAAGGATCTTCTCAATCAGAGCCCCACGCACAGCATCTACCTCCACCCTGCAACAGTAAAGGTCAAGGGGTTAAGAAAGGCAGTTTGTCTGTAAAATGGGTGCTGTAAGGTCTATCCTGCATACATGACAGAGGTTCATTATACGTGAATGAAAAAGAATTGCACAGATGCACAGAATTTTTCTTTCAGATACAAATATGTTTTAGATACCATTATTTCATAAAGGGGCCATGACTGTATATCACTTTCAGATGCTCTTTTTAATGTGGTTGTTTGATAAAGCACCATCTCATGCAAGGTCAGTGCTGTGATGAGGAAAGTATTTGTGGAGCATAAACTCTGTAGAGGAACACAGAGAACTGGAACAATAGGTGGGAGAGCCTTAGTTCAGAGAATCTTAAGGCATAGTGAGAAGTAAGCCTTCATCAGGGCAAGCCTGCACTTTGCCTTCAGCTACTAGGTTGTGATCTGTAAGTCCCTGGAATTCCTGACTATTAGGAGTGTCCACGCTTGCTGGGGACAACAGTGGCTGAGCATTCCTACTGCAAAAATATAAATCTGAAAAACACCTAAATCTGAAACATCGAGCACCAACATGGACAAGATGCTACAAGTAGAAAGTTTCATGCCTGACCCAAGGGATGGGTCAGAGCCAAAGCACAATCATGCTGAAAAAACCCTCTGAGGCAAAAGAGATCAAACAGTTTAGCTGGCCTCCCACCCACTTTATTCCAACATCTGGTGCACTTGGGCACTTTGAGCTGAAGGTCGATGGATCCAGCTGCTGCCTCAACTGATTGGGAAGGAGGAGACCCGGCAGTTTACATCCATGCTACGCACACAAGGTGTAGAGAAACATAAATGAATTTCATGTTTTCCTTTGAGTCACATTCCCAAATTATCTCTTAATGTATCAGCAAATGTTTCAAAATCAGAAAACATCTATCATGGAAAACACTCCTTATCCCAGGGATTTCCTATATTGGATGCTCATCCTTACTATGTGATGGATGAGAGGGGGTTGGGGATCATTTCTGACTTCCAGAGAAAATGCAGACTAAAACAATTGACCTCCAGGAACAGATGGAGCCTCCAGGTCAGTCCTGACATCTGGAGAACAAGGCAGGACTAAAACATTGTCAGGACCCACTGACCCTCTTTTCCACTAGGCTTTGACCTTGGCTTTCCAGTGCATCCAGCACCTGCTCAGCCATGCGTCAGGGTGATGTTTCCCTTCACAGGCTGAGCCTTGCAGCCCGGCATCCCCTTGTGAATGTCACACATCACATGTGGGAGCGCACTTGTCCTGGAGAAAATGCAAGCTCCATGCTCGACACCTGCCAGGTTTTGGCCTCTGGAACCCTCTCCATGACTGGTTTTACCCTGGGCCTGTCCCCATTATACACTGTAAGTGTGTAACAAACATCTGTAGTGATTCGCCAAGTCCCTCTAGTGAACTGTCACATCTGCAAGGCATTTGGGGGAATTTTCAGATTTTCAGTAGATGTCACAAATAAAGCTGGTCTGGGAGACTGTGCCTTTGGCCTTCCCAATTTGGTTACCTCCGAGTAATAAGATATAAAAAGTAAACCCTCTGAGGCAAAAGAGATCAAACAGTTTAGCTGGCCTCCCACCCACTTTATTCCAACATCTGGTGCACTTGGGCACTTTGAGCTGAAGGTCGATGGATCCAGCTGCTGCCTCAACTGATTGGGAAGGAGGAGACCCGGCAGTTTACCCTGGATGCATCCTCTCTACTTAACCTGCAGCTCACATACAACCCCAACCCTATGAGCAGGACCTTCCTGTCAGATGTCATGAGCCAAAATGACACCTTGGCCGGGGACCCTTCTCATGAGTTTGTGCAAAGCCCATGTGCAGTGAATTGGGAGACCTTGAGACCCATCTGCATCTACAGCCTGAGAACCCTGAAACTGCACACGATAATACAGAAAGTCCTCTCTGTGCTGGGGACTCTGTGCCCTCACATTCTCACACTATGCGAAGCAAACTACACAAAGCTGTCAACCATTCTACCTGAGGACTCTGTCACTCAGCCACTGCTTCCCGATGGTCAGGGCTACTCTGTGTGAATAGAAGAGGGTCCCAAAAAAGAGCAGAGAACTCGGTGATGAGCAGGGTGTGAAGGAAACAACTGCCCACCGGCACAGCCCTCTGAGCTATCTGGATGGGTCACAACAAGGGTAGGAAACAAGCCCTTGCTTACTACGTCAGTGCTGGGCCAGGACTCCCCATGCTTGGAGCCTTCAGCACCTGCCTTCTCTCAGTCTGTCCAGCCCTGCAGCCCCAGGCTTCTTATTACTGCTCCATTTCAGACCCCATCTGCTCCATCCTCAGCTGGGCTCTGACTCTGTCGCAAGTTGCTGTGGGCCTCTGGGAAGCTGTGCTCCCCCCTCTGACTCCCAGCTCACTACAGTCTCATCAGATTGAATCTCTGCTCCCACTGAACACACCACAACCCTGGTCTCCCAGGCATCAGCCTGCAGCCCTGCAGCTGACAGCCACCCAGCTCTATCTTACTCCACGCTGGTCTCTCTGCATCCTGACCCAGGACAGTTGTACACACCAGCACTCCGAGCACTCAGGAGGCTGAAGCAGGAGGATGGCAAGTTTGATGACAGCCTGGACAATATAGAAGATCAAAGGCAGCCTGGACTACAAAAATCACAAGTGACTTTCCCAAAAATACCACAAAAGTAAGTGTCCTGTTGTGTTGGTACAGTTCCTCAGATGCAAAGGTAAATGGCCTCAGCCAGAACCCCACAAACACCCTGATGAGGTCTACATTTATATGACTTTCTCAAGCAAGTCCTCCCTGCCTCCCGACTGCAAGGAGCAGGCTCAGCCCTGCTCTCTCCCTCCTGCCCTCTCACAGTTACCTTCTTACCTTCGCTTGAGCCCCTGCTGTGTGTCAGCCACATGCTCAGCACTTTCACGCACTAGCCAACTTTTCTTACAAGGAATCTCGATGAATGAACTAAGGTGAAACATGGTAAAGGGACTGGATAAAGCCCCATAATGCACAGTTGGCAGCAGGAAGCTGCCCAAGGTGGATGCCCTGTCCCTTTACCCTGAGGTCACTCACTGCCAGGGAATGACATGGAGATCATGTTCCTAAGGGACAGTGAGGAACAGGCACCCTTAACCCCAACCATAGGCCCAGCCTGGAGGAGGTGTGTCTGTCCGTGAGAGTCCCAGTCCAGTGGGGATCTGGGCAGCATTGCTGGGGCACCCCACACAGGTGACCTGGTCAAATCAGTCGTCTCCACCAGTATCTCCCAGGCGACATCGTCAGTCAGCAGTTGCTGCAGATCCGCACTGCTCAGTGTGTGCAGGATATGCTCAAGGACGACCTCTAAGAAGCTGTCAGTGTCTGGTGGAGGAGAAAGGACCAGGGTCAGTGACAGAGCAGGAGAGTGTAAACGGCTTTGAGTACAGGTGGTTCATATTCACCTAGGAGCTGCTGTCACATCAGACACTTTAGAAGAGAAACTAGTGTTAAGGACCAAAATGTGGCCCCCAAACATGTATGTTAAGGGGCTGGGGGTTTAGCTCAGCGGCAAAAGCGCCTGCCTGGCAAGCGCAAGGTCGTGAGTTCGGTTCCCGGTACCAGAGAAAAACCAAAGTGAATTCAAGGCCAGCTGAACTGCGTAGCGAGACCCTGTCTCAGAAAGAAAAAAAAAAAAAAAAAAAAAAAAAAAAACATGTATGTTAAACACTGAACCCCACTGTCCAAATGTGGAGATAGGGCTTTAAGGAGGTGTGGTAACTGAGATCAAATGAGCTCCTAAAGATAGGGTCCTAATCTGTACCACTGGTGTCCTTATAAGAACAAATCTCTCTCTCTCTCTCTCTCTCTCTCTCTCTCTCTCTCTCTCTCTCTGTCTTTCTCCTTCAAGTTCTTCTTCTTCATTTTCCTCTTCTTCTTTCTCTTCCTCTTCTCCTCCTTCTCCTTCTTCTCTCTCCCTTTCCCCACTCTCAGAGAAAGGCCATGTGCACACACAGTGAGAAGACTCCCTCTGCAAACCAGGAAAAGCCCTGACTGGAAACAGCCCTGCCCCACCTTCATCATGAATTTCGCTTCCAGAACCAGTAGAAAAGAGGCTTCTGTTGTTGAAGCTGCCAGCTTGTGGACCCTGTGGCGGTCCCAGGAGGGGACTAGCACACCAGGGAAGCGCCTTCAGCACAGAGCTCGGAAAGTGAACCTCAGCCTGGGGAGCGGCAAACTTCCACGCATGGCGTCACCTACCCCGTGCCCACTGTGTGTCACCTGGTGTGTACGTGCCTCTTCCAATGTGAGTTTCAAACCCTTAGTACTTTCTGAAATTCATTCATTGAGTTCAGAGCAGCACTTTTAAAAAGAAATGGAAGTATCAGTATTAGAGCATGTTGACTACAGTAAGGTTGTGTGTTGCTTTTGCAAATTATTTAGGTGACATTACACATACAGTGGCACCTCAGTTCACGAACTTCATTCTTTCCATGATTCTGGTGGCAAACAGAGCTGGAAAAGAACTGAATCAAAGCCAGTGCTGAGGTTCAGTGTTGACCCGATGGGGAAATTTGATTCAGTTTTTAGGCAGTTCGATTCGCAACCAGAGCCGGGGTGAGAATTGAGTTTGTGAACTGACACAGCACTGTATGTGCTATACTACATACATAGCATAGAGAGTAAATGTATGTATATTTACAGGGAGAGCAACGGAAAGTAGAGTCTCTTAATCCATGGGACCTAGAAAAATATTTTTCAAATTTTATTTTAGTGAACACATACTAATTGTATTTATCAAGTATAGTGTGATAGTTCAAGGAAAGTTCTACATTATTACCTCAAACATTTCTCATGTCTTTGTCTCGAGAATATTCAAAATTTTTTCCACTATGTACTGTGATAGAGACAATTAAAAAGAATTTTCAAGTCCCTTAGAAAGAAAACACAGAGCACACGTGATATACTACTTGCTACTAATGATAATCAAACACATTCATGTGTTGACATGGAAACAAATGAAGCTTCACCTTACATGTGGTAAATAGTGTAAAGGCTGTAAGTGGTCTCAGGTCAGCAGAGGGCAGAGTTACTGCCTGAGTCACCCAGAAAGTGTGTGTGTGCAGGACAGGAGGTAACGGAATTACAGGCGGGGGCTGGGTACCAGTGTATATTCCTGTGTGCTACTGAGACATAATATAAAATGTATAATATAAAGCTTGCCCTCAGGGCTGGAGAAGAAGTGAGGAGGGACTTGGTTCTAGGTGTGGAGCAGAGGGAAGAAAACAGAACTGAGGGAAGGAGGAGCTCGTTGGGGAGGAGCTTGTTTCCTTTCGCCTTAGATTTTCCTTTTGTGAGAGCTCATTGGAAGCAGCTCAGTGTGGAAGCAGTTGCACCTGGTGAGCAGGTTCCTGTCCCTGGTACTGCAGGACAGGTGCTGGACACAGCTCCATGGGTGAAACAGAGTTTGGGGGTGGGCAAAAAATGTAACAGAGTTCCAGGAGGGGAGAGACCCACACTCACCGAGCTCACCCCACTATAACTGAGCCTCATAACACCCTGCAAGACACTACTCTCCTGTGATGGGGGAGGGGAGGGGCTCCAGGTCACACAGGTGTGAAGTGGCAAAGGTCTCACTGAGCTCCAGTTCAGGGGCACTTCCTGAGTCGCTCTTCCTCCTGAGCCAGGAAGATCAGTTGGGCCCCACAGGGCAGGGGCTGGAGGGAGCTGCCTCCTCGTGGGCAGTGCCCCAGGGTCAGTACCTGGGACAGGTGGGAGGGGCTCCCCAAAACAGTCCCATGCTCACCTATACCCCTGACTAGGAGGAGGGCTGGGGAGGAAGCGTGCATCTGGGCCCTGTCCCTGAGGAAGGTCAAAACAGATGTCGCCCAGGGTGTGCTCTGTCCCCCAGGCTCCGGGCTGCTATTTAAGGGAAGGCAGTCATCCTGCTCCAGTCCCTCTGCCCTAATCCCTGCCAGGCAGAGGCCCCAGGTCTTATGAGGGAGCAGAGAGGGTGATGGGGTGAGGACACAGCCATGTAGATCCCATGGAACCCACATACAGAGGAGAGGTGAGAACCACGTTCTGCTAAGAACCTGGCCGGGAACACCTGCGTTCACTAACGACATTAGTTGGTGATTATCGAGAGTCTGCAGTGTGCAGCCTCCTTCCCTGCACCTCATTAAGTGTTCGCACACTATCCACGGGTTGAGGACTTCTATGGCTCGTTTTAAAGCTGTGGGAACCATCAGGAATGTCAGTTAATGCACCCAAGTTTTCACAGAGGTGCAGGGGCCAGGACTTGAACTCAATATTCACAGGTCCAAATCCGATCTTTTGAAGACTACACTCTACTCCCTAAACTACACAGCATATATACTCACGCGTGCATGTTTATTGTCAGTGACGCTTCTGACAGCAAATCCATATCTGCTACCCTGTGGCCATCTCCCTGTCTTAGTAAACTCCCCTGTGCCCTGTGATGCCTTTCCTTCCTTGCTTCTATACCGCTGTGGCCACTGAGTGACCTCTGCTGCCCTGCCATTCGTATTGCAGCTCACAGTGCTTTTCACATTGTTTTTCATTGTTTTTATAAGAACAACAGTGCAGAGCATTCTCCTTCTGTAAACTTTGCCTCCATTATGCCCCCTTGCTCTGTGATGCCTTCCACCATTTCATGGTACCACAAGAAGGTCCCCTCCAATGTCAAGGAGATGACAGCTCCATGCTCTTGGAATTCCCAGTTTCTGTGTGCTAAATAAGGCTCAACTTTATAAATGACCTGGTCTCAGGGATTTTATTATGGCCATGGAAAACTCTCGGCTACAAAGAACGCCTGTTATTTTGTTATCAAGAACACTTTTACCTGGCTCTGGTCCCTGCCCTCCACAGATAGGGTTGTTGAGATACCCATAGGTAGAGGCACCCCTCACTTTCCACAGCCACAGTGCAGAGCCTCCTCCACCCACCCGACCTGAGACCATCCACAAGGGATTGTTTCTAGCGCCCCTGCCTGCGGGCTGTGAAATCACACCCCGCCTCCCTCAAGATATGAAGTGAAGTCCACCTGTTCCACTGACCATGGGAATGACCAGCAGGTCCCTGGGCTGGGGGACACTGCCTTCAGAGACACAGATGACTTCTGCCACGTGAGAAGGAAAGAATAAGCCATGCAGGTGTGAAGTGTCCCTGTCAGGCCCACCCAAGGTGGGGACAGCTCCCAGCAAGTCCTTTCCTCTGACTAGGACACAGCAAATCTGGTCATATCCAGGTCCAGCTCTTCGCTCTGTGACATTGTCTCAACACCACAAGGCTCCCATGGCCACGGGATGCCTGGCCACCAAGTGCAAAGCTACCCTCTTCCCCACTCACCTGGCTTTTCCTGGTCTTGGCCACAGGACATCTGGGTGTCTGCTCTCTGTGGCTCCTGGCCATTAGTAGTGACCTTCTGACCCATCCCTGACAAATGAGGCACAAGAGAAAGTTGGCTGAGGGAATTCTCAGGTCTTGTGGCTCTAAGGGATGGGAGTGACAGGACAGCTGGCTTCCCCTTTCACCTTCCTCCTGTGTCCAATCCTTCCTGACACAGAGACACTCTGCATTCTGAGGTCACGTGACACAGGGACTGTGAGCTGAGGCAGAGGATGGGACAGGCAGAAAAACCCGGGGTCTTGGTGACTCCACACATCGTCAGTGAGTCTGCACCCTGGGTCTCATCCTTCCTTCTCACTCTTGGTCTGGCCCTGACTCTTGTCTGGAGCCTCAGCCGGGTGCCCTGAGGGACACAGTGAGCAAGGCACTGTGGCTGAGCCTGCCAGCAGCTCAGTTCCTGCAAAGGTTGTTGAAGGAGGAGAAGGGAGGTGCCTAGGAAGCCCAGGTGGCGCCTGCCTGGCTCTGTCCTGGCCACAGCCTCAGCCCAGCAAGGAGCCCTCCCTTCCCATCAGCTGTGTTTGGGTTCTCCAAGGGGACAGAACAGAGGTTCCAGCCTAGCCTCTTCTGTTGGGAGCAGCAGGTGCTGGAAATTGATCATATGTGTAAAGCCAGGACAGAGCCAGAGTGCCTCAAGCAGCCAAGTTACCTCAGTCTTGAGCAAATCATCCTGCCTGGACAATTTCAGTCATTAGTCGCTAGGCAATGTTTCCTCTCGAGATACTAATTTTGCAAGAGTATCAATACCCGCTCCTACTCATGTTGTGCAGGTCCTCTTACCCATTAGGTAAAAGGCCACTCCACCTAACCCCACCTTTTGTCTCTTCTCTTTATTTTCTCAATTCCCTTTCCATTTTCTCCCAAGGACCACCAAGAGACCACTGACTCCTACACTCTTCCTCTCAGTAGCCAGTATGGTCAACATCCAAGAGTTACAACAGCACACGCCTCCTAAAGATCCTTAATGAGCTGCCACGGGCAAGTTCAAGCCCTGAACCTGGCACCCAGGCCCTGCTGCCTGCTACAGCTCCTCCATCCTCACCTCTCCCTGCCCACTATGCACCTTCATTCTGGGCCCTTCCTGCACCATGATCTGCACATCAGACCCAAGGCCTGTGCTGGGCTGTGCCCTCCCCTGGACGCCTGCCCGACCTCCCCTCCATGCCAGGCCCAGCTCCTCCCTGCTGGCTGTGCCAAGCTTTCCCAGGTTCCCCTGGAAAGAGGCGACTACTGGGATCCTTCTATTTGGACACCCAGGAGACTGGGTTCACTCATGTCAGGGACCCCTGTTGTCATCCTTGCTGCAGTCACATTAAGACCCCCAAGACCAACCAGCGTGGCCTCTGTCCCCAGCCCCGCCTGCCCTACACACTCATTTGGGAGGCACTCATGGGACACGGAGCCCCAGCCTCTGAGGACACAGCCCAGGTAACCTTCCCTCCCAGGGGAGTAATATCATTTGGCTTTTCCCTCTCTCCATGTTCAGCTCTTTCTAGCAGAGCACAACTAGAACTATGACTCACTTTGCACACACAATACACCAGTGATTTTAGGTCCTTTGGATAGTTCTACCAGACTTTTGAGTTTCCACCTTGCGTCCCCTCCCTATAGCCTTGATATTTTATAGCAGGAGAAAGGGGAGAATGAAAAGGAGAAAATTCAATAACCACAGGGCTGTACTACAGTTGAAGAATGGCAGGTCTTGAGGTAACCTTCTAGGCCTGGTGTCCAGGTGACCCCAAGACCACACTCAGGCCTAGCTCCACCTCCCACTCCCGCCCTTCACACCTGCCACTCAGGAGTGGGGCCAGGGACTTTCAGGAGAAAGGGGTGGAGATTATCCCTTTAGTGCCCCGGCTGCTCCTCTGCCGACTCAAATCAGGGCACACTAGCTCTCCACAGCGATGAATTTGTAAACTAGCAACTTGGCCAGATTGGAAATAAACAGTACAGCCCACGGGTGTGGCCATGCGCTCCATCTTGAGGAGTGGGGTGTGGAAGGTTCCAGAGACTTGGAGAATGCTCAGCAATTCCCACCCAGTTTCTAATGTGCCCCAAGTGTGTCCCGGCCACTTAGAGGAAAAGTGTGCAAGGATGTGAGAGTGATGCTAGAGAGGTTTGGTTTTTAACACCAAAAAGAAAGGAAATAATTAACCATCCAACCAGAAGAGAGCACAGAATGCTGCTCTGCCTTCCCCAACTTGTCAAAAAACCTGCCTAGGTCTGTGTTAGGACTCACCCCAGCTGTGCTGAGCTGTGTAGATCCTGGCACCAGCTGCAGGCTGAGCAGTGAGTAGAGGTCTCCTTGATGCAGACTCCCAATAGGGAAAGTGAAACTCAGAATTTCTGAGCAGCTCATGCTTACCCAACTTCCTGCTGGGCGCGACATTCACTCCACCCTCCTTGCTGACCCATGGGGAGGAGGCAGCTCAGACCTCACACGCCAGGTGTTTCCAGACAGCCCACTTTGGCTGGCGGAGAAAAGATCAGCCACTGACAAATGGGGGGACCCTCAAATCACCATGCCCAGCACACCCAAGGTGGGGTGGGGGTTTGTACACAATCTCATTCATTGTACACACCCACTCCCAGCACACGCACCGCCCTGTCCTCTTTCACCATTGGCACACGGCTCCCACATGCCCTGCACCCTGCTGCATGCTTGGTGGATGCCTGCTGAGGACATCCTGTCCATGGACTTGGGGGAGGGGAACCCTGGGAATGGAACAAGGGCCTTGCAAATATTGGCAAGTCCTGTACTGCAGACGGAACTAGGCATCTAGACTTTTACTTTTGTGGGGTCTTCCTGCAGAGCACCTCCTCTCCCCTGGAGCTGTCTTCTGCTGCCTCCTCTGAGTCCCTCCATCTCTGACCAGACTCCTGCCCGTTCCTCTCCTCCTACCTAGTGCCAGCGTTTGACCCCAAACCCCGTCCTTTCTCCCTCTCAGAACTAATACTAAGGCCAAGGACCTGCTGAGCAATGAAAGAGGCTTTTATTCCTGATGAGAAGTGGGAGGCAGACTCCAAAGCCACCTTCTCAACCTGATAGGGGTGGGGAAGTCAGAAGTGTGAGGTGTAGAAAAGGAGCACCGGGAGAGGGAAATCGCTGACTCCTTTTCTGGGGATGGTTAAGATCATTGTGGAACTTGGGCACCACCTCTTTTCACTTTGTTGGTTGCTCTTTGGAGCCATCTCCATGGCCACTATCAACGGTCATCTCCCTGGGAGTGGGGGATGCTCAGCATGTGAGTGGGATTAGAATGAAGGGAGAGGTTGCCGGATGATCACAGTCACAGCCACCTCAAATACCACCAGTTTCAGCTAAGCAAGGACCACCAGCCCATAGGTGTCCTGTCTTCAGAGATAAATAAGCATAGGCAGGGTAGAAAATCAGCTAGCTCAGTGGGTAGTAGCAGCCCGGGGCAGAGGAGCATAGGGCACCTTTCGGGGCAGGGCCACTACCCATCCAGCCTAGTGAGTCGCACAGCTGATTTGCCAGTGGAATTTTCTGCTTCACCCCAGGGAGAAGACACCGGGAGAGCTGGGAGGGGGCCGGACCCCACAAGCCAGCCTGGGCCTGTCCTGCATCGGGCAAATGTCGATGAGGCCTCACTCTCACACCCCGTCCCCATCCATGAAGCAAGGTCAGTGAGTGACAACATGATAAAACTTGCATGGCTTTTACTACTCTTTGATTGCACTGATATCATAATTCCCTGAAGGGCTAGATTTTTCTTCTGTGTATAAAATAAGTTGGTGATAACTGTGCATATGGATGGGGTCTGATTCTGCAAGTGAGGAAACAGGTAAGGAGAAAGTCTGTGGCTTTCATTGGGAAAGTCAGAGGAGGAGCCAAAACTCAACCTATTTGACCTTGGTACATTTGACATCTGTGGCCACCATTCTTTGTCTAAGGGCATTTGTTTCATTTGTCACTGTTTTCTGTAACCTCCCTTCCCCTGAATCTTCCGTTTCACTAACAGGTCTGTAGCTTAACAGCCACACAAACACACAGTGAGGTGCAGGACCTGTTATAGACCCACAGGAGCTCTGGCCCCGCCTTGTGGACCCCCTCATCAGCGAGCACAATGGACCAGACCATCTTTGACAGGTTGAACATGGTATCATGGTGGAGCCTTGAAAATGAGCTGCAGACTCAGCTCAGGGGACAAACAGGTCTCTCATCTCCTGGGACGTGAGCAGAGACCGTTTCACTGCAGGTCCTGACATCTGCTGCAAAACACCTCCGCTCAGCCTGTGACATCAAAAGAAAAGTAACACAGGATGACTGCAGCTCCACAGTTGGAGACCTGGCAAAAGTCTTAGGTCTAAAAGCAATCTCTGCCCCCTGAGAGGGGGATCCTGATGCAGTGGGAAATCGGCCCTGACAATGCTCTGGAGACACCTTGCAGGGAGCAGCACATTGCCTCTGGAAGAGGGAGGGCCCACAGCCAAAACACACAGGCACCCACTCTCCACACCCTGCACAGCCCTGGAGAGGAGGGCCTCGCTCACACAAGCTGCACACAGTGTTGGGTGCTCCAGGACGGGCACCTCCTCTGTTCCTCCCTTCTCTAGGGAGCGATGGATGATATATACCTAATGTAAAGTGTACTCTCTTTGCCATTTTTGAAGTGTGCAGCTCAGCAGCTTTCATTGCGTTCACATTGCAGTACCACCACAGCTACCATCATCCCTAAAACCCTTTTCATCCTGCAAAACTGAAATCTGCATCCCTTCAATGATAACTTTGCTATTTAGAAATGAATTACTTGGCTCCTGTGAAATCACCCTCTGACTTCCCTCATGGAGGGAGTTGTCACCATGTGACACTGGACCTCTGACGTCATCAAGTGACCAGCAGAGACAAACTTCCCAGGACTGCCAAGCAAGGGTTGGCAGGGTGAGTGTGTTCATTACACTTTCATCACTATCTGACACAAACCGCTTAAATGGGGAACAAGTGGTTTGTCTCAAAGTTTGATAGGTTCCATCCATAGTTGGCCGGCTCCAAAGCAGGAATATCATGGCAGAAGGGCATGGATGAGAGCTTCTGAATGGCTAGCAAAGAATTGCAAGTGTACACCAATGGTAAAAGCAAAAGCAGCTGCGTGGATGGAAGTTAACGTGGAAGGTGTGCGCAGGAAGTGTAGATTAGTCCAGTACAAATACAAGGGTGGCACAAACAGGAGGAAGTGGTACTGGGATGCAGGAGGAACCGGGAGATGACATCAGTCAGGCTTTTGGATTTAAGTGATGTATGCCCAGCCCAGGTGCCTCTCAGTGGATCCCTCTGGATATGATTTACTGAAATAATGCACAGTGCACAGATCACCCCAGGGGCATCCAGTACGCACGACTCTCCCACAGTTTGCTCTGTTTTCATCCCATGTGCTACATGCAGTTCCTGTGTAGGAACTATTAATGAAGTTCAAGAGGGGAAAATGTTTATCAAACTATGGGATCTAAAATGTATGTACTGTGGCCCAGAGATTTACACATTTCTTGGATCTTTGTTCTTCTTATTTCTGCTTGTTCTAGGACAGTGGAAGCAGGATTGGCCTTGGGGTGTTGCCTAAATTCAGGTGGATGTAGGGGACATGACCCCAGAGCCCCAGATGTGCTATGTGTAACATGAGGAAGTCTCCAACCACGTACCTCAAGCCTTCACTCATCCCGAAAGTCATGTATTAGGGTTGGCTGCCCGGTGTTTGGAGTTCATTACAATTCTGACAGAGGTGCAGAATAAGTGCAAGACACAGTGGGAAAAACTGAACTTGGGGTGAAATGTGAAGAAGCAACTCCCATAAGCAGTAGTTTAAATTAATCCAAAATGCAAGTCCACCAGCTAGCATAAAAAGTTTCCATGTTCAAGAGAAAAGGAATAAATGTGAGAAACAAACATTCCAGAAAAAAGAGATTCTTAAAGTCAACATTTTGTATCCTGTCGCACCCAGTGGGTGAGTCTCTTACCAGCAGGCACGAGGAAAACCACAGAGCAAAACCATGTCACCTGCCTACCCATCCCGAGAAACAGAAGCACAGCCACACTCTTTCCCCTGCAAACTCCTCAAGGCAGCAAAGCCCTCCCTCCTCTCTCAGTCCTTTGTTCTAACCTTGCTTCCCTCTGATTCCACTCTCTGAACTCAGCCTCTCCCCGTGAATAAGTGAGGAAACAGCCACGGTTGCTCAGATGCAACTTTCTCATCTGGTCTCTCTCTCCTCCATGCCTTTAACATGAATAGTGCCTGAAACCCAGGATAGGGCCGCCCTCCTCAGAGGGACTTCAAGCCCTGTCTCGAGCCTCTAGTGTCATAAACAGGCCACTGTGGGAATTGGCATCTTACACCTTGCCCCAGACATTCCCCCCCCAGCTTCAGATTAGGTAAGACTTCTCCCTCTCCCCTCTCCATACCTGTGAGACCTTTCCCATGGTCTCCAACTCCCTCCGTGTTGCCCATGTGGCCTCTGCTGCATGGGGTGAGAGCATATGGAGCCCAGTATGAGCCCAGGTTGTGCACCCCTACCACAGAATGTTTCCTTCACTCAGTGCTGTTCTCCCCACCACCACCAATCACCTTGAGACACAGCACCCAGCCTCAGCCACCCTGCCTATGCACCAGTCCTGGACCAATGGTCCCAGTCCACACAACCCTGGCACCAAGTGCCTGCCCCAGCAAGCCTGGCCCTCCTCACCCTGAGCTCACTCACCAGCCTCACAGCACTGGTAGCAGGGCGTAGCAGCTACATGCTGCCACCATAGATGCCAAGGACCAAGCTGCATTTATGTACAGAGTGAGACCACACCAACTGCTTGCATAACCCACCAGTAAGCCTCCCACAGCAACTAAATGCAAAGCCCTCCCTCCATGTGAGGGCACCTGAGTCCAGCCTAGGCAAGGAAAATGTGGACCTGTGCCCAACTCATCCCAACCTGCACCACTGGACCCCCGGCCATAGTGGGCCACTGTTGTGGGCATGCTGCCACTACTTCATCTCTGGCCACAGCACTGCCTGGCCAACCCATGCTGTGCCATCGCACCCCCCCTGCTGCTGCCACAGGGTGGCTGGTTCAGCAAGTGAACTGGACTGTGACCGGACCAATCTTACCTAGGGCTGCTTTGGAAGGTCCGATGATGCTCACAGAGCCATGGGCTCAACCGACGCCACTCAGGCTGACCAGGCTCCATGCTGCTCCTCTACTCTCCACCACATGCTCTCCCAACCCCCACTCCACCACTCTGCCATAGACCCATTCCAGACTACATACAGTTCCCTTGATCTCTGCCTCTCTATACCTGCACACAAAGTGGCAGGAATAAAAGACATAGTTCTCTCTCTATCAGATCTCTTCCAGGTTAGCCATCATATGATCTCTTTCTGTTCAGACTCTTAAT